AATGTACTGGTGCCTACTGATGCTTCTTTTGGAAACAAAAAATACACTTCATTTTGCCTTTCCAAGCTATTTTACCTTTGTCATTGAAAATCCATCAAAATAACATGTGAAATGTGCTTTTAAAAACAGGTAAGAAGAACTGCCTTAGAGCTAATTTGATATAATTAAGATACCCAGATAGAAACTGGGTGTTTCTAGTGAGTTCTAGTTCTCACTTAAGGCACAAAGCCAGCAGAGAGATCTTGGGCCAGTCACTCTCTGTCTGCCCTAGGAAAGAAGCAATGGCAAGCCACTTCTGAAAATCCATGCCATGAAAACGGAAGCGATTGGTCCAGGCAATTGCCAGGTGTCAAAAACTGCCTTGAAGATGTGTGCATAAGTGCATTCATGCACACATGTACATATATACAGAGAGAGCACTTTTAAGAATCCTAGTTCACAAAGGCATGAACATTTCAATACATAAGGATTATTTTCTTGCTAGTTTAGGAAGGTTTATTTGGAAATGATGAGAGAACTGGATCTATGGGATTATTCAAGATGTTAGGTTCTGCCTGGTTGGAAAATTTTACTTTTATGTCAGATTGCCTCAATAAAAATGAAGTGCTCCTATAGTGGAATTTTCATTACATTATAATTTAAGATCACATATGGGAAGGTGTGTTTGACCTCTCAAAAATGATACCATAAGAACGCCTAAATTCTTAGTGTTAGGAAAACAAGTAAACGTAGTATCAAGAGAGGCCAATGCATCTCTTACTTTCTGCTTCATAATGCAAAACCAGGCATCATTACTAATTTATATCTTGATACGCTTACTCTTAAAAAATAGTTTCATACATATATGTCTCTCCTGCAAAGTTAAATGGTATGTCATTATGCTGACTCCAGCTTTTTTTCCCCAGTTAAATCCCTAAGAGGCACATGAGATTAATATATGGAGACACGCTAACTGTGTGTCTAATGACACATAGATAATTTCCTGCCACAGGAAATCATGGCAGCTAATTTCATACAGTATTGAGCCGTCTGTCATACGCCGAAAATATTCAGTATTTTACAAGACTACACTTTTCATGCTGAATGTGCAAGAGTAAGGCTTTGCATAGTAAGTGCTCCCAAACAAAAAAAACAGTGGCATAAGAAATTGAAGTTGCAAAGATTACAGCCTGCTATTAAAAATAATTGATTGGTCTTCACTGTGTAGGTTTGTAGAAATATACATAGTGTCAATATTCAACCATTTCCTTAGATGTAGCTAATGTTCTTCATTGATCTAACTATGCTTCTCTGAAATGTTTTCATCAAAATACATGCTTACTTTGTTTGTGAACTGGACAAATGAGCTACAAATATTTTTCATAATCTCAATTTGAACCTCAAAAGAATTTCATTAAAAGTCATTCCCCATTCTATCAAACCAGAAAATGATACCCAATTTTCCTCTATCATGGCCTGAGTTCATTTGATCTGTAAAAATAATAGTATTTTTTCTATTCACCAGACTTATGTTTTTAGTAAAGAAGTTAATGTGTAACTGCCTGGGCACACAAGTGCACATTACAGCAAGTACTTAGATTCTTTTAAGTAAGGATTGGTTTTACTTTGCATGTAAGTTGTGCATGTATGTGTATGTATGTAATTTTGATGAAATATATTATTTTTGTTAAAGATAATACTAATGATATATATTAAATAATTCTTTACATCAAATAATACTTTCCTCAAAATTTAAATAATACAGAAAACTAAATGACACAGAAAATGCTCTAAAATTTGGTTTCATATACGTATGAATTGTTATTGACAGCCCCCCCCCCCCCCCAAATAGACCAAACTAGGAAATCTAAGACATGCAAACTAGTACTGCTTTTATTATAAGGGAGCAGAATCTTGCATATCTGAATGTGTTTCTCCCTCCTTCTCTTTATGTTCAAGGGAACTAGGAAGATCATGTCTTGACATGTTTTTTTCAAATTACACTTCTCTCCATTGTCTTGATGACATCTCTCCCAGCTCTACTTCAGAGTTACTCCTGCCCCATTACAGCTATTAAAAAAGCTTTCCATAACTTCATTTCACTTAAACACTTAAAGTAATTGTTCTTCTCTGTTCTGTGTTGGTTTGATCACAGAATATTGTATTCAAATGTAGGTACTGCATTTTAGGCCACCAACAAGATTGTAGGTTATACATCCCACTGAGAACAACCAAATAAACAGCCTGGCCTGGAAGGAAAAAAAAATACACAAATTGCTTGGAGGAATCAGATATTATAGCTGGAGAAAATCAGATTTGTCTTAAATATCTGAAAAGCTGTCACATAGAAGACAGGATAGAATTATTTGGGGTTCTAAATGATGGAACAAGAAACAATTGATTTCAGCTACAAGAAAATATATATTTGTTGAACATAGAAAAGATTAAAAATTCCCTTGCAATGAGAGCTCAACAATGGAGTAAATTATACCAGGAGGTGGTGGCCTTTCTTGGATGATCATATGTGACAAGCTATAACAATGAACTCTGCTCTAGGTAGAGGCTTGGCTTATGTAAATTCCTTTCAATCCTTATTGTATGTTCCATTATTCTATAAATATTTCCAGTTTCCATGACCCATGTTACTAAAACAAAGTGAAGTTAAATCCAGAACACAATAGAAGCACAGTGACATTCTTTTCTGTAGGGTCCAAGAACCATTCCTCTCTTAAGATTAAATGCTTACTTAATATTCCATTTTCTGCTATAAAATCTGACATCATAGTTGACAAAGCTATTACAGTTTTATTGATATCATTTACTATAAGGCACGCGGACTTAATAACTCAAATGTTTTTTTATGTTTTTGACATTTCTTATGTCTATACTGCTGTCACTTTTGGGATGGGAGATATATTAAACAGAGTTTAGCATTCTGATAATTCATGTTAATATTGAAAGAAAACATTGCATGTTTTTATATTCCATCCATAAACATGTATAAATGTTTATATATGTATCAACATTTGACTATCTATATCCTATCTATCTATCTATCTATCTATCTATCTATCTATCTATCTATCTATCTATCTATCCATCCATCCATCCATCTATCTATCTAACTATATCTCATCATCTCCCTACCTACTATCTAAATGCACAAAAACTACTCGGCTCAGTTCTGATATTAAAAATGCTGAGCACGTACTGAGAAGTACTGTTTTTAAATTCTTTGCATGTTTCATTCGCACAGACACATACTTTTTGTCTGTTGGATCTTGGAATTTTAAAAGTAATATCGGAATTGATTCTGGTTAATCTAGGTCTACATGACAGCTCCGCTGAGAGTAAAGGAAGCTAAATCAGTGAAGGCAACACATTGGTTCCTTTAAAAAGTTGCTGAAAGATGAAGATGTTTTTGTCATTGATCTTTTTTTAATGCAATGCTTCCTTTTCATTCAATCCTTCATGTATCTAAATCATGAATCCCCAATGTTTTTGGGGCTCTTGAGCTTTTAATACTGAAAAAAGTTTGTAAATCTGATAACAACTACTGCCTTAATGTGAGTAGAAGATTATTCAGGGAATTGTTTTGGTTGAAGACTTAAGTATACAAGCAAACAAGCAAAATAGTGTCACAAAATTACTAGCATTAGTTGTAGGTGGTCAGAGACTGTATTATCACAAGCCAACACTTTTTTTTAGAAAGGCAAATTACTCAAAATATCATCTTTTATTTCAACAAAATACCCACTTCAAAGCAAAGGAAAGCAAACCAGATTTCCAAATCATATCTAAGCAATTTTTTCTGAAATGTCCTACAACTTATGTTTGCAACACAGGTAGTCCTTGACTTAGGAACACAATTCAGCCCAAAATTTATGTTGCTAAACGAGACATTTGTTAAAGAGATTTTTGCCCCATTTTACATCCTTTTGTGCACAAGTTGCACAACTGCAACTCAACAATTGCAGTTGTGAATCACTGCAATTGTTAAATTAGTAACATGGAAACCAACAAAATCTCTCTTGATGGGTTTATGCAATTTCCAAATGTTTCCTTTTTTCTGAATCATCATCTTCCCTAATATTTTTCTAATTTTACAGACACCCATTCAAAGTACACATTTTAAAAACATATATCATACTTCTATACTATGAAATCCAGTAAGTCTATCCTCACTGCCTCACACCTCTAAGCTTAGTCATTCAGCCACCCAGTTTGTCTCCTTTCTTGTCTCACCATCCCTTCACTTTCATTCCCCTGTGATAGCCTATCTGACAACTTTATTCCAAGCAGCTTCCACTTCCTGCGCCTCCTTCCTTTCTGTGCTGGGAATGTGAGTGTGGCTAGGAAACAGATCTTCAGTTGTCCTGCAAATCTTCTGAAATTATGCATCTTCTTTGCCTCCTCTCCTTGCTTTACTTGAGCTGGTTCTCCAGAGAAAAGAAAGTGAAATGGAATAGAATAAATTCATTGAGAAAGGAGATAACTGCACTCCACAGATTATTTTTTTGCAGATACCAAGTTTTACTTAAAAGCAAAAATAAACAATCTTGCTGAAATTCAATGTCTGTCACAGTGGTTAAGTGATTTTATAAGTAGGGAATGTGGATCAGATTGCTATGATTTGCAGTTTTAAATGCTTTTGAAATTATTGTAGCCAATTTGGCCAAATGGTTAAGGCACCAGGCTAGAAGCCGGGGGCTGCAAGTTCAAAATCCCTCCTTAGTCATGCAAGTCAAAAACTGCTCTCTCAGTTTCCTAGTAAAGAAAAATACATATCTGCAAACTGGCAATAATTTGCCAGGCTTCATACATTTCTGAGATATCATGGATAGATGAAGGGAACTAATTTTTCATAATGACATCGGAAGCCCATCACTTGGGTTTAGTTTTTTCTTTTTCTACCATTACCTTGGCAGTATCTCTCCCCCCCCCACCCCCAATTTTGGAAAATTTGAATATGTATTGAAATATATATTTGCTTGTATACTGAGACATTTATTTCTCCGCAGCCTTTGAAAATGCATTGCACCAGTTGTGCTCTAGTCACAAGCTCTGGACACCTTTTGCGAAGCCATCAAGGAAAGAAGATCGATCAGACAGAGTGTGTAATACGAATGAATGATGCACCTACACGGGGATTTGGAAAAGATGTTGGAAACAAGACAACCTTGCGCGTTATAGCTCATTCCAGTATCCAGAGAATTTTGCGAAATCGCAATGAACTATTAAATATGAGTCATGGAACTGTATTTATCTTCTGGGGCCCAAGCATGTACATGAGAAGAGATGGAAAGGGATTAATTTATAATAATTTGCAACTGATGAATCAAATACTACCTCAGTTAAAAGTATATATGATATCTCGACACAAAATGCTTCATTTTGATGACCTCTTCAAACAGGAAACTGGAAAAGACAGGTATGAAAACAATTCTACAACAATAGATAATGAAGGTATTCATGTAATTGGTAGGACAATTATTTGAAGCATATGCTTTCATTTTGAAACACTTTGCAGTGTAGGAGAGGGCTTGTTGGACTATGGTGGCAACCCCCCCCCCCCCTAGAAATCTGATAGCACTTTTCCTAACTAACACATATCAAAGGCTGCTAAGGCCCCTTTTCTTGTTATTGATGTGTAGTTCGACTGGTTCTTTTTTAAAAATGTAACCATTTTTTAATTAAAGTCTTTAAATTAAAATAGTAAAGTCCAATTAAACTAAACAAATAGTAGAAAGAAAGTGAAAGGTGCAAAGAAAAAGCAAATAGAAAGAATATAGTAGAGAAAAAGCAAAAAGATAAAGTAACTTCCAATCTTAATCATAAAACTAAACAATTTTAGTAACTGTTCACCCTCTCCTAATTTACAATCAATGAACTTTCACCCCATATCCCATCTGTTATCGATAAACAAATATCCATAAAGCATCATCATTTCAGTCCTGGTATCATCAGAAAGTCCTCCAGTAAGATTTACCAGAAATAACAACATATTTTAATTTTGATCAAATAAGCCAACTTTATATTACTTCATTTTACTTCTATTAGTCTTAATCTTCTACCAATAACTAGTCAAATTGTACGCTAATTGTGTTAGCATGCCAGTCATTTGATTAGCAGAAACTAGTAAATGATTCTAATACTTAATTTTGGTTTCCTAGGCCATATAGTCCAATTATATTTTCCTCCCTAATATTCCCAAGTTTGGCATGCCAGTCCAAACCACATCTTGCATGATCAAATTGAAGTTCATTATAAATCTTGTCAATCTCACTTCTTCTGCATTGGTGGTTTGAGCATAAATTTATATGGTTATCAATGTCATAATTATACATTGTCTACAATGTCTTAACAGATAATAGTCCATCATTGATGCATTTAGCTAAATACTATTCTTGATATAATCTCCCTAATTATGCAAGTATGTTATTCCTTCTTTCTTTTCATATCTTGAGTATGACTGTGATCTTTTGAATGAAATTGTCCAATTCCAGCCTAATTCTTGTCCCTCTTTAATTCACTGATGCCTAAAATGTCAAGAAGTAGTCAATTTGTCTTTCACTATATTGTTTTTCCATATTTTGTGCTTCTTACCTTTCATGTTCCTATCATAATTCTGTTCGCAGCTTTGAGTTTTCTTTTCCTGCATGACATCAGCAACTAGATGTCTAAAGGCTTTAATCTAGTCAAATTATATACACCATTAGTATTCTGAAAGCTCCTTAATTCATCTTCAGTAGCTTTTGTTGACTGCTATCCAAACTGAGGGGTCCATCATTTGTCACTATATTATTAATCATTTTATATTTTTGTATCCATATGGCTTTATTGGTAAAGTGCTCAAGTGAGTGTGAAAAGACGCCTTTGGCATTATCACTAAAGTGATCCTCCATAATGTTGCTGTTCTCCCATATGGATGCCTGCATTAGCTGGTGACCCTGCTTGGAATATATACTCTTCACGCTTTCTCAGGATCAGCCCCATACCGCAATGAAGCAGCACAGCAGAACCGGGGAGGATATGGGCTGTAACTTACTAATAATGTGTATGAGCTGTGAGCTTAGATGACAATTTGTGATGTTCCATTTTTGTGATCTTTCTTAAAAGCTAAAGACATTGGGCAGAAAGAAGGCCCACCCTTGTATACTTTATTTATTTCTACCATTAAGTGGTAAGTTGATAAGATTCATCAACATATATCAAAAGGTTTCAAAACAATCTTGGAAGATCTCAATAAACACATTGATTTTGTAACACATTACAGTTGATAATTGATAAAGTATTTATCACCAGTCTCTCATGTACCCTGCATAGCATAACCAACCTTACTTTCCTTACCTTCTCCCCCTGTTTTAAATCCTACATCATTCTAGTGACTCTATGTATCTGATGGAGTGAGTTGCAGATCAGCAAACCTTACGCCTTTTAATAAAATGCATTATTTGGAAAAGGTGCCACCACACATCTCCTGACTTTATAGAATGTTCAGAATCTTTTTCCTACTTATTAACCTATCATATTTCTGGGTGTCAAATAACAATTTTTTCCAATATAGCACAATGATGCAATCAAATAACATATTTCTGCCTTCGCTTTTAAATACCTAAATCAATATATAGTGAATACAGTTAGTTGATAAATAGAATTCTAGAATAGCATAGTGTGAAGGTGGGTGGTGAGTTTAAATCATAGTTTAGATAATATACCAGAATAAAAATAATTCACTATTTTTGAAAAAGTAGAATTGGTAGTTTTTTCTTTATTGACTCAGTGCAGTCATTTGGTGAATTATAATATCTACTTATTGCATTCTTGGAACATTTTAGCAATAAAGCTTTCTTTTTCATATATTAGATATCTCTGAAGTACTCATCTTATTCTTCCAACTGAAAAAAAGTGAAGTTATTATGATACTTACCTCCATTTATGAGCCTATTTATGGCTTACAAAGAGAATTCCAGATCAATTTGTTTAATAAGTGGCCCTCTGTATGGCCGCAAACAACATTAGAAATGAATTTCTTCCCCACAACAAAGAATTGAATTATTTTTATTACTTATATATTCATTGGTTTTTTTTGTGCAGTAAAAAGATGATGACAAGCTAAGTATCACATACACATATATGTATAAATTAAGAACTTATTTTAGAGAAAAATAAATTCAATACAATGTTTGCTTTTTCCATTTCAGTGTACTGTTATTCTCACTAGTATTTTGCATCGTATCCTGTTAAATTCTTTGGAAAAGCCATTTACTTAAAGCCTTCTCATGTTTTTAAAATGCAAAGAATTTTTAAAAAAAAAAATCCTCAAAGCCCTCTTGAAATCTTAATTAGCCACTCAATAATGAACCATATAATACTTAAGCTGGTCCTCTTGATTATGCCATGTTTCATTAATCTTGGAAACAAAATGCTCTTTAGCAAATGTCTCTTTTGTCTCTTCTCCCTCCTACACTCAGATTTTGGTGCAAAGTTCATGGTTTGTATTAAACCAGACCTTCTCTATTAGAGAAAAGGAGGACTGTTCCTTAAGGCCAGTTATTAACCAGGCTTAATGGAATGATTGTCTCAAAGTGGCCATGAACGTAGGCCTTCAGAGCAAGAACAGTCAAACATGAACAAAAACTGTGCTGCCCTTTTTATATACTCTGTCTTCTAGTTAGCAGATATAAAGCCATCATTTTATTTCCCAGCCTACCCTCCTCTATTAAAATAGATGTTTAATGATGTGCTTTCTTCTGTCAGCTATCCATAGAATGGGTCAGATTGCTCAGCAAGCTGCTGAAGCTCTAGGAAACCAGTAATCCAGTTCTTACCAGCTTTGTCTTAGATGTTAGACAAACAGGCAGGGCATTCCGCAGCTATGTAATGTATATTCTCTGTTACCAAATATTTCTGACAGCCACAGATATGCTAATGTCTGTAGAAACAATCTTATCCCAAATATGTATAAAAGGATGATAACTAGGGGGATAACCCACAGGTTAGGTATGTGCTATTAAAATACAAAGTATATCACTCAGTAATAAAATGAAATACACAGTTCTGATTACTTAAGAGATCTAGAGAAGTATTTACATAATGTGAAAAACATAAGTACTTTATAAGCATTCTGTTTTCTGGGTAAGCCTTCGGGTGTATATTTAAGCTTTTTTTACTGTACTGTGTGATGACAGCACTATTTTACTTTGCTTGTTGGCTTTAAAATTGATACCTAGAGAATTGCACGTCAGCTTCAGGAAAACAGGAGCTACGGTTGACTGGATTTCGGCTATGAAAAAAATTATCTGAAAACAACAAAATTCATCAGTGGAATCCTGGACTCCTGATCATACATGAGATGACATATTATTATTTATTTATTAAACAAGTATCATTCATTTGTCTAAAGGAACTCTAGGTGGTAAACAGAATAAAAGTATAGTAAAATAAAGAATATTTAAAACAGTAGATAATGCTGATGCCTCAGTGAAAGTCATAGTTACCTACCAACCATCCCATACAAGCTCCAGTAACATCCTGGCCCCCAGAGCCTTTGAGAAAAGCTAGGTTTTCTTATAAGTGGAAAATACCTCAGAAAGACCATGCATTCCTGAGCATAATACAAGCAGTCTATTTAGACCAATGTTTCTTAACCTGGCTGGGGACTCCTGGGAGTTGAAGTCCATACATCTTAAAGGTACAAAGATTGAGAAACACTGCTTTGGACTGTAATAAGAGCTCAGAGCAGGCCAGCAGACTTTTAAAAGTTAGAGGTTTGGAACCCTGATTAAGGTACAGTAAGTGCTTGCAAGAACAAACATAAGTGGAAGCATCCCGTTGATTGCCAGATAGATACAGCTATGAAAAATATAGGATTTATAGATCATGTTATTTCTTATGCCACCTAATTTATTTGACGTATGATCCAGGAGAGGAGGAGGAGAAAATAAACTATATCTGAATGCCTTAGAAAGGCCGGTTTGAAAGAAAGAGGGCTCAGATTAATATGAAAGAAAGGATGCTTTGTACTCCTATACTTGCACTTGTTCTCACCTCCAAACATATTCAGAATAACAGAGATGGAAGGGACCTCTTCTAGTTCCTCAACCAGGCAACCCTATTCTGTATTCTTTCTATTGTTCGCTTATTTATAAAGAAATAGACAAATTGACAATAGAAGAATTCTCTCCCTTTCTATAATCTGGGTTACAACTGGAGGAGCAGTTGTTTTTGGGTAGGCCAGCTGCAAGAGAAAAAAAAGATTAAGTTGCAATTTCTTCATTGCATAAAGAATGTTGCGGTAGACTACAAATTCCAAAGTCTTTCAGCCTCAATATATTATTGAAGGTATCAGCAGTTGCTTATGAGCTTTTAAGCCCATGCTTTTTTCCTACTTTTTGCTACTACTAACTCTGCCTTAAAAATGCGTGGAGGGAGGGATCTGTAGATTTAGTGATTGGTTCCTCTTCATTATTAAATCAATCATACATCAATAAATTGAAAGTGGCAAGATGTTCCATGGGATGAGGGCAACAGCAGAGCAGGCTCTCTTCCTAGACCCTGTCAGACATAATTCTTTAACTGATGGGGCTCCCTTCCTTGCATGACCCAGTGAGACATATAGATGTAATTGAGATAAAATAGTCATTCAAGTAACCTCAGCCGAGGCCACAAAGGGCTCTGGGGTCATGAACAACACCCTGAATTTGGCCCATAAGCAGACCAATACCCAATAAAGCTCACACAGCAGAGGTGTTACATGGGCAGTTCTAAGGATGCCAAAGAATCCCTGAGCCACCTAATTCTGTACCAACTTTAGCTCCCAGATAGTCTTCAAAGATAGCCCTATGATGAGCATATTACAGTAGTACAGACGGAAGATAGTTTTCAGGCCCAAGTTCAACACTTCAGTGGGAATTAGGCCCGGAGCTTTTCAAACAGAATTCAAAAATAAGTCAAATATAATGTATGTGAATTTGACATATGAGTTTAGACACATTCTGATTTCTTTCTTTTACATGCATAAATATTAATTATTTATCTCAGCCTGTGGGTCCATTTAAGAGAAAAAAAATAATGTACGTATCTCTCCTTGAGAGATCAACATATCCCATCACAGTTTACCCAAGCTCTAGAAACTTAACAAGAATCTTATTGGGGAAATGATTGAGAATTTGCTTCTGAAAAAAAGATGAATTTTAAATTATCCTTTCCAAAAGGAAGAGCAGAGAGAAAACAAATTCGGTAGAATACCAAATATTCCCACTTTAACTTCTATTTGCTAACTCCATCCAGACTGAAGGATTTCATTACCAGTAAGTTAATACATATACACTATGTATATCAGGTATGTACAATATGTTTATTCTTAAAAAATAAAAGGCTAGGACAAAAAAAAATCATTGATAGTCTAGAAAGATGCCTCATTTTTTTAACCTAACTGAGCTGAACGTGCAATCATTTTTCTTTCATGCTTCCCTTCACATAAGCACACACAAAAGATTCCCTCTCTTGTCTTGTGGGGGTTGGGGGGAGCAAAAGATTATGAAGGAAAAAAAAATAGGATGAATAGAGACGGGGAAGAGAAAAAAGTAGCTGAAGTGGGAAAGAGAGGAAAGAGAAACGAGAAATGAACTTGATGGAAATGCTTCAAGGCATTTGAACTGTCCTTGGCATTTGAATCGTCCTTGGAGGACTATTCATTGCAATTATTTCTTTACCTTGGATGGAACTGCTGCTCACCATACTTAAGCAAAAAATGTTTCAAATATGTGAAATTTTGTTGCATTGTTGTACCATCAGTGTATTCAACCTGAATATACCCTGTGCTGACATAAAGTGGGTACTCACCTGCTAATTCTTCCATTAACCAGATACAGTTATCTTTCTTTCCCATTTAATTAGTAGGACTAATGCAAACCCACAGTTTACACTCAAATCTTATTCAGGTAATTGCCCAGATACATAATACCACTAACAGCTGCAATGTTAGAATGAAAAATGCAATTACTAAATACATTTGTTCACAACCAGAAGGATATAGTTAAACCTATTACATGGTGTAGAAGTACTTTGAATGTTGACTGCCCATGTGTACAACTTTTCTATGAATTTTAATAGGTAACTTTAAAAAAAAAACCTTCGAACATGAAGTTATCTCAAGTATTATTTGTCACTTGGGGAACTTAATTGTTTCTGTTTTCAGGAAGATATCCAACACTTGGTTAAGCACTGGATGGTTTACAATGAGTATTGCATTAGAACTGTGTGACAAAATAGACGTCTACGGAATGGTGCCACCAGATTTCTGCAGGTAACCAATTCATCTGAATTTTTAATTAGGTTGCAAAATTCAGTCTTATGGATTATGCATGTACACATAAATGTCTTTATACTATTCAAAACTCAGATGTAGATTTTCCTGGAATTCCTAATTAGCATGTGCTGTGATTGAGTTTTGAAAACAATAAACAGCATTTAATTACATTTAATATATTATTTTAAATTGTTTGTACTGTGAGCCATCTTGTTACTTTCCCTTAGTCTTTTAAATATTTATTAGGTAAACATAATGCTAAGAATACATAAAATTAATTTCTGGGGGGGGGAAAACCATTCGAAAATCTTGAAAATCAAGATTATATGGGTATATGTACAAATACATGCCATTAATGGCTTGTTGCATTTTTATCTATGACCTGTGTATATGTGTATATGGTTTACGACATGTCACTTAGCTATGGAAATGTCATGCCCCTGTTGGAGTCTGACTCCGAGGGAGAGAAGGAACAGACAGGGAGTGGAAGTGTAGCTCTGGAGGTTGTGGAGGAAACTGGGGAAGGGCACAGGCCAGCTGGGCAGTCAGAAGACCCAGGCCCACCCCCTCTTCATCCTATGGCACGCAGAAGGAGAGGATAAGGGAGAAACGTGAATGGCATGGTCTACAGGGGAGGAAAGGGCCTTGATCCCTTTCATAGGCTGCAGCTGTGAGGACTATTTAAAAGGATGGACTGTGCATGGGCCAGTGTTGGAAACAAAGCGTAAAAATATTTATAGTCTGTCCATTCTTATCTGAGTTTGGCGTCCTTCCCAGTGTGTGTATTTTGATATCTGTAGACGTCTTCAAGCCCTTATTCTGCCTTGTCTCAGTAATTGTTTCAGTGTGGTTTGTGTTGTTTTTTTCTATTTATAATTTATATGTATTTTGAGTTTGAATGGAAGTTCTTCTTTTTCGCATCTGTTTGTGGGGGAGTTTTTTGTCTCCAGTAATTGATAATTGGAGCTTTAAAGCCAAGTTGAAGGAATTAAAGAGACTCCACCTGTTTTTGTGACTGTGTTGCTTTTGTATCCCACCCTGGGTCATCACAGGAAATTCCAGCTCCATCTGCTATGATGATATGATGTCCATCCTTCATGATAAATAACAGCTCACAACCTTTCTTAAGAATTAGTCTATTCTTGCTTTTTTCCCCAACTCTTTTGGCTCAGAAATATTATTGGGTCTTCTTGATTACACTGCATGTTTGAGATATCTGCATATTTATTCAACCCATTTGGAAACCTTCATCTTTCTTGATTTGGAGGTGTGCTTCAGATGGTTGTCTGAATTTTTTTTCAGCTCCTAGAAGCAAGTATGTCAACTGCCTTGGTCATATCTTCATTCCATGGATCAACTAGGTCTTTGAAAGATTGCCAAATTTTAATAGATGAAATACATACCTCATTCAGGAATCTTGCAATGTTATCTGGTTTTCGAAAGCGGAGCATTTTAAGAGGAAGCAAGACTTGGAGAGAATCCAATCTGTGTATTAGTGGAACAACAGATTCTTCTTATTTATTGGATTTCTCTTCCCATAGATTGGATTCCATTCTGATTAGCAAAACCTGCAGTAGCTATTAAAGTATGAGATTCTTTTTACACGAACTTGGCGCAAAAGTTAAAATTAATGCCATTTCTGACAGATCAGACAAGAAAACAGTTGAGCTGCACTGCAGTGTAGCAGTATGTAGTAATATCCAAATCCTATTCTGATGTCCCCTGATTGTTAAGCTATCATTTAAGAGGAATGGATTTATGTTATCATTCTATCTGTTTGCCTGTCAGAATTTGCTTGCATCTTTCTTGAAAATGCCTGTAGATTTGCTTGTACAAATAGCATTAAACCTTAAAGTTCTTCTCAGTGGGATTTACCATTAAGTAGCATCATCATAGAACACGTGAATATATTTTCGTTTTACCCAAAACAAATTGTGTGTGTGTGTGTGTCTGTGTGCACACACACACACACACACACACAGATTGCACAGTGCCACTTTGGAAAACTAATGTTTTTACATAACAGTAGTTTCATCTGTAAATGCACTCCTACTATATTGATAAGCTACTGAGTACTGATTAATGTCTAATATCACATAATAATAAAATAGGCACCTTTATAGATAAGTAGTAGCTTTAGTATTAATAAGCAAGGATAGGGATGACTTTTAGCATTTTCAGAAGTTCAGTCTGCTAACATAAAAATATAATTGCTGAGTGGGAATTTAGCATAGAATTTTAGTCAAACCAGCAGTTAAGACACTGGGCTTGTTGGCTGGAAAGCTGTCAGCCCAGGTTCGAGACCCAAGTGCCATGCGATGGTGAGCTCCTGTACCTGCCCCAGTTCCCACCAACGTAGCAGTTTGAAAGCATGCAAATGTAAGTAGATCAATAGGTATCACTTCAGTGGGAAGGTAACAGCACTCCATGATATCATGCTGGCCACATGACCATGGAAACATCTTTGGGCAGCATTTGGCTCAATGGTCTTGAAACGGAGATGAGCATTGCCCCCTATAGTCAGCAACGACTAGCGGAATAAAATACATGGAGACTCTTTTACCTATCAAATCAGAAAGATGAAACTTACAAACTTACTCCAATTCTTTTTGATGATGTTTAGGATCTTTTTTTCTTTCCTTCTTTTTCTTTTCTGATGATGTGGCCCCAAAGATACAAGATACCAGTGTAGATGTTCTCATCATCTTGAAGTTGAACACGGGTTTGTTCCTTTGGGTTAATAAGAGCTGTATTGATTATAACACTTTCCTAGCTATACTGTCCTGAATGTTGTTTCTGTGTAGCAGTTGGAAGAGGAATAACTGCACATTTTTTACTTAAAAAAATGAATAATTTAGGTATGAAGGAGAAATGTTTGTTCCTTTCCACCAGTCAACACATTCAGACATTACAAGGCTTATAGGTTCATAGTACTCACTTTCCTTCCTTCTATCTACTTACTTCAAAAGAAAATTCATTATGTGATCTTGATGCTGTACTCATTGTTTTCCACCATCGAAAAACTAACTGTTATTAATGGGGAAAGGGAAGCCACGATGCAATATCACATTGTACCTTATAACAGGTATTATCAGCATTAATGTGTGGGCAAAAAAAGCATGAAGCTGTGACATTTCTTCTTGTAATATTTAGAGGATGTCATGGCATGTAGGTTTGGTTTGTTAATTATGCCAGAAGCCACTAGGGCTGTCATTTATCCATCTAAGGCAGGGATGTCCAACCTTGGCAACTTTAAGACTTCAACTCCCAGAATTCCTCAGTGCTTAAGGTCAGGAGCCGTGGAGGCGCAGTGGTTAAAATGCAGTACTGCAGGCTTCTTCATTGATCACCAGCTGCCAGCAGTTTGGCAGTTAGGCTCTCACTGGCTCAAGGTTGACTCAGTCTTCCATCCTTCCAAGGTTGATAAAATGAGGACCCAGGTTGTTGGGGGCAATAGGCTGACTCTGTAAACTGCTTAGAGAGGACTGTAAAACACTGTGGAGTGGTATATAAGTCTAAGTGCTATTGCTATTAAAGTTGCCAAGTCTGGATACCCCTGACCTAAAGATTTCCTAGTTGAGAACATCTGCCTTCATATTTATAGGTATGTGATAGCATTGTAACTAGTTATATGAAGCTTGTACCATTAATGTGTTTCTCAGGCATTAAAAAATCTGGAGGAAGTGCTCCAGGAAAACTTTATACCTTCTGCCAGAGATGCTTAAATGATATTTGTAGAATTAAAGGGATTTTGTGCATTTAACTTTGTATGCTTTAGTTTCTGTGTTACTGCCATATGCCGTATGCTATAAGAATAAGGGCACAATCACTCTTAAACTAAGATCCTTTGTCAGCCTTTTATACTGCCAGATTGATTTTTGCTTTGTCTTTTATTGAATTGGACTCATTTTAGTAAAAGGGATCAAACTGTATCAAAGTTACAGACCTAAAGAAGAGAAATAAGAACAGTGATCATGGAGGGCCCTTAGGACTTTCAGGGTCTCTAGAAATTTAAATGTAGATCCCGTCTGAGATGTTACAATTAATTTTTAAAAAACTGTAGAAATTCATTACTAAAAATAGTGCTGAGGATGAAGCTATATACAGTATATGTAATTCATACCCTGGACAATAATCTATTTAGGTGGGGTTACAAGTTTTCCAACCTTGCAATTTGTTGTGGTTGTTAAATAAAATTATCGTCCTTGCAAATCAATTTAGCATCACAGCAGCAATTTAAAACAAAACCACACAAAAAAGTGGCAGTACCAAATGGTTCTATACATGCTTCTATCTTGTGTTGGTTGGATCAAAAGTCTGAGGTCCTGTTACTACTTCCAAAGCTCTGAATGTATCTCAGGTTTTTTCTATTCAAGCTACATACATAGCACACTCCAATGTAGTCAGCTATTTGGTTCTGGAGTGATTATATTTTAATTAGTTCAGATGAAATATTTCAGTGTTTACCTCTGGGAGATGAGGTGAATGGGGAAAAGGACTTTTTGAACCCTTTGGCTTATTGAGGACAGCCTTATTTTTCGGTCACATCCAACTATTTGCTCTCTTTTTTTTTAACAGGGATTCTAATCATCCTTCAGTACCTTATCATTATTATGAACCACTGGGACCTGATGAATGTACAATGTACATTTCACATGAACGGGGAAGGAAGGGAAGTCACCATCGCTTTATCACAGAGAAACGAGTCTTTGAGAATTGGGCCCGGACTTTCGATATTCACTTTTTTCAACCAGACTGGAAACCAGAGGCACTTCCTGTCAATCATGCAAAGATTAAACTAGTGTTCTGAGGAAATAATGCACAAGGGTGCAATCACAATCACTGACAGTATCGGGTTTCTGAGAATTGAACATCATATCACAGCAAGCCAAGCTGAAAGAAGGAAGGTTAACAGGGTTTGCGGATTTTTTTAAAAAAGAAACCTTGCTACAATATTCAGGAAGTTGTTATGAAAGAATACCGAAAAAAAGGTGCTTGGCATTCAGTATTTGATTAAGCAAAATTTTCACTTCTGTCTATTGCATATGTATATGTGATTTGTTAAAAAGAAAAGAAGACAACACCTTCGGTATTAATGAGCGTAATTCAGGAGATGTGTGATTCATTATGTTTTTAAGGCACATTGCCACTGGGTTTTCATAGTGACATTTAACAGTTACTTAGTGGAAGTTTTTAATGCAATCCAGTATTTTTCTATTTCACAATGATAACGGTTATTTATCTTTCATAATCGCTCAAAAACTGAGGATTTATATTTCCGCTGGTTTAATGCCCAGCTTCTTGTTTATATATTTTCTCTTTGAACTATAGGATAATTCTGTCTGGCATGTAATTAATGTTTGATCTGGAAGTTTTGTGTTTTTTTTTTAAATTTTGTATTCTTAGGCAGTGTTCCAGCATCAAGCCATTTTGAGAGCACATCTTGATGGGGAGCTCCAGCTGAGAGTGATGGTTACAGCTATAGTATGTGACATTAGGTCTACAATTAAGAGTTAGTTATATCTACAGTTCCTTAGCTGACTATTTTTGGTCTTTTGGCATTGCTAAAAAAATAACTTGGCAGCCCTAATTCCATTTGATCCAAAAATAATTTGAGCAAATGTGAATCTCAGAAGCATCTTAGAATGTGGTCTCCCACATGCCTTCTGAGCTACTTAAATCCTTCAAAACTATATTAAGAAATGTTTGGATTAGATGGATTAGGGGTACTTTACCTAGAAATGCATTCAATTCACTGGACGTTATCTCCAAGTAGATGTGGATTAAATGCAATTATTTGAAGATGACATGGAAAGCTCGGATTTGGTTGCAGTGGAATCTGCCAAGGCAGACTGATGCCTCCTCTGAAAATGGCAAAACCCAGTCATTTGTATATATTGGTTTATGGATGTGGAGAGAGAGAGACACGAGAGCAGGCCAATTGGATTGTGACCATGTATGAACATCCTGTTCTGTTTTGTGGAGTAGAAAACAGACCTTCTGTTCAGAAGTGCTATGAATTACAAGGATGTAAAGTTGGTCCGATCTGACATAAGATAAAATACACTGTTTCTTTAAGATGCCTTGGCACTATTCAGATCTAGTAAATGATCTTGGATAGCACTAAATAGTTCTGTAAATTGGATCCTCACTTGTTATGTTCCTTTGTGGGATTATATCTAGCTTGTGAATAAAAAGCATTTCATTCACAGTGTTATTTGACCTTGCACATGACAGATCATTGAAGTCAAATAACTTTTTCAAGCTGTCAATAATTCAATTGGCCACTTGCACATTTCCATACACTATTACTTCACATAGTAAAATAATTCCATGTTTGATAAGAGTTGTCATCAAAAGCTGGATTCATTTAAAGGTGTTATGCATGGGGGACAAATATACAGGAAGAGGTATTTGGAGGGAGGTGAGTTTTATCAGTTTGAGAATTTATAAAAATTTGTGTTGTGGTGCTTGTGTTTTCAAGCTATAGAAAAAAAAAATTCCCAAGCAAAAACAGTGATTGAGTTGTGAGAGGAAAAACAACTCAGTCATTTTCCTCTTCTTTTTATTATGGTGGAAGTATTTCTCACAGCTGTTCTTTACTATTGAATAAAATATTATGAATTGATAAGCAATTGCACAATTTTACTAGCACCTCATGTTTCTTGCCATACAACAATAGCTCACCTCAAAGAAGAGGGAACCCGAGTTTGTTATACATTATAAGAAAAATGGGTTATGCCTTGAGAGGGCTTGTTGCACCATTTAATTTACACATTTCTTGAAATCTGATGTACAAATAATTAAATCCAGACTTATCCACATTTCTCAAGCAATGAGAATTAGGTTTGAGCTCCAGCAGTTGGATAACACTCATTGGGAGAACGATCACTACATACAAAGGCATTGCATTGTTGAAAGTTAAAATGGCCTGGCCTGTGACCTAGATAAACAACATGACTGTTACATAGTCCCTGATAATTTCCAATTGTTATTCACTATGCTATTCAATTTTCCAACAATATTAAAATAGCGTCTGTTGTCGGTGACTGCACCAGAAAGCGCCTCTTTGAAAAGTAATAAGCACACTGAGCAGCAGAGTTGTCGAGAGCTGCAAATGGCAGAATATATCATACACAGGCTTCAGATCAAAAGGATCAGAAGAATTACACTCTTGAAAAGGAAATTCTGATATGCAATCCTGCTGCAAAAGTAGGGAGATGAATCACATTTCTTTTATTTATTTACATCTCTTTGTAGTCTCTTTCAGGGCTATATGATCCCTTTCTGAGTCAGGGCATATTTATTTTTTGTATAAGACCCAAATACTAATGTGGGAATCCTGTGATAAGGATTTTCAGTACGGCTTGCTTTTTCAGGCAACAGACTTTTAACACAGATTGAAAAATTACATGTTAGGAGAGCATGTATTGATGGCTTGGAGGGGGAAAAGGCAACTTACACTGAAAGAAGGAATATTATGTTTTTACCCTTGCATGAAAAATAGAGATTTGTACTGGGAGGGTGAGAGGCATGCATTCCACATTGCCCATTCTTTTTATTTAGAGTAAAGCAAAGCAAGTAGAAATAACAGATTGGAAGAACAGAATAGAGTAGAGTAGAGTAGAGTAGAATAGAATAGAATAGAATAGAATAGAATAGAATAGAATAGAATAGAATAGAATAGAATAGAATAGAATAGAATAGCTTAGCTTAGCTTAGCTTAGTTTAGCTTAATTTGGCCAATAAAGTATGTTGTGATTGGACACACAAGGAATTTGTCTCCAGTGCAGAAGTTCTCAGTGTACAATGCAAAACAACAGAATAATTATTATATAACTATTTGGGTCTTATGCAAAAAATAAGTAATAAAAATGCTAATCATTGCTCTCTGAAATCATGTGTTCAGCTTTGCTTAAGAGTCAGCTTTAAGCAAAAGTAGGAAATGTATGATCTGAACAATAATACAAAATACACATAGCATAGATAAAATTGAATAATAAAAGCATTTACCTTTGCACAACTTCCATTGGCTAAGACTGCTGGCCAGAACATCTGGATGACCCTTTAGGGGTATATGGCACAAGCTGTATATTGTCGTTTATTTACGTTATATGCAAACTATATAGTCAGAAATGCTAGCAATAATGCTAGAAGTAATACAAACTTAAGGAATGTCTTGTTGCAAATGAAAAAATATGCTTCTCTGTTCATTTGAAAACAAAAAAACAAAATCCATTAAGTTTATGTCAAAGAGGCCATGACAGTCCAGTGCAAGCGGGTGAAGTTAAACAGCCTTTATTTTCCAACATTCAGAATTCACTCTAGTCATGAAACAGAGATGTCTGCTGCTTGGAAAAGGACCATGATAAATTTGGACAAAATGCCAAAGGGGAGACAAACAATACAGAAAACAAAGATATGCATTATCAAATCCCTAGTTTTCTAAGTTAAAAAATATGTGACAGTAAAAACTGGATCATCAGAAAGGCTGAACAAAGAAAAATGGATGCTTTAGAGTTGCGCTGGAGAAATTTGTTGATAATATCTTGGAGTGCAGGAACAAATCATTCAGTCAAGTAAAGCTGGTAGTAAAGCAAAACTGCTTGCTGGGAGTGCTAATAATGAAGCTTAAATGTACCCAATTGGAGACCAAAATTGGAGACAATTGAAGAGTGACAAAAGACATGGTGATTTGATACTACCATTGATGACACAAGTGTAATCCTACAAAACTCAAGATGTTACTGACAGGTAATCCTGCTGAAATTGTCAGGTCACGAAATATGAGAAGTAACTGCACACAAAGCTTCATATTAAACAACTGGTGCAATCTTACTCATTTCTGCACAAATGAATGTTACTCAGGTATGCACTTGCACCTTTCATAACATAAGGGGGAAAACGTTAGTTAGAAGCTGTGTTTTAGAAAACCTATCAGATGACAAGGGTTATGTTGCAATGGAGAAGAATCTAGACTCCAAGATTTATAAACAATTTGCAAATTGTTAAAAACTCCTGTTACAATTATAAAGGTACTATGAAAGCAACTCTTAATACTCCAAATAAAAAGATGGTGATAATAGTCAAAGTTGCTGAATTTTATTTGTCATTTTTTACTTGAACCCAGTTACAATCAGATAGGAAATGATAGCTTTTCCAGAAACCCAACTAAGACTATCTGAAATTAATTACAAAGAGCTAACTTGCTCAGAAATGAATTGAAAGGAAAAAAGGAGTTTCTAGAATTCAATTCTTTTTAATTTTGTTCAACATAGCATGGGTAATACAGTCAATATAAATTTCCCAAGAATAAACAATAGGATTCTGTTAACATAGTCCAGAATCATATCATGAATCATGAAATTCTTGCTTGTAACAGTATTTGCATTGTGTCTCTAAAGTGTTCCAAAGATTTTTCCTGGAAGCATCAGAAAATACAGGGACTGTTACAGTCCAATTGCCTTCCATTCTTTGGGCAGAAAGAATTTTACTTTGAGTTATGGAACATGAATTGCGGCATTTCAATCTAATTGTTTTCCTCCCCTCTGTTAATCAGCTTTACTACTTTCCCTGGTTCATACATTGGGTTTACTAAACAGTCTCCTTTCTCTAAGCAAATTATCTTGGCCTATAACTCATGTTCCTGTGTTCCAGCAGACTTGCCTCCCTGCCACCCCCCCCCCCCCCCCAATTACTGGTTTTACTGAGCTGGACACATTTTAGGTTGAACAAGAAGCCTATGAAGTAGGACATCACTGCTTAATTCCAGCAGGGTTCTATTGAGTTTACCATTTTCACAATATCCACGCACAAAGCTGTTATTAGATTTTTAAAATGTCAAAAATTG